GAGCCCGCGTCTGACCGCGCTCCCTCGGGCCTTCCCCACGGCGTCGGTAGGTGGGCTGAGTGGAAATAATTCTCTTAGGAGCCAGCTAAGCGCTGAAAGTGGCGGCTAGCGCGGGGCTCGGCCCGTCAGAGCCCCAGGCTCGGCTCTCGCCCTCTTTCCTTAAAGGTCAATCCGTTCCTTGGGGCTCGGGCTGCTCCCTGGCAGCTGAAGCTCCTCATCCCGTTTTCTGAGCCACAGAGCCATCTCCAGGAGGCTGCAGTCTCCGCCTCCGAGGCTCTTGTATGAGCCGGTTCTCAGCTGCAGCGAGTTTGCCTCCCTGCAGACAGAAGGCGGTGTCTGGAGGTGTCTGGGGTGGAGGTGTTACTGGCATCTCTCCAGGTTGTAGAGGATATGGGTAGGGGGAGACCAGGTAGGCAGCTAAACGTTTTACAGCACGCAGGACAGCGCCCACGACAGGCAACTGCCTGGCCTGAAGTGTCAGGACTGCTGGAGCTGAGAAACCTGGGGTTAGGAGAAGAAAGATGACTTTTCTCTGTGCCCCCATTTCCAAAGCGTTCTACCTAAGTAGCACCTGTACCCATTTTACTGATCAGGAAACAGGTTCAGAGATGTTAGGTAATTTACCAAAGTCAGTAACTCCCCTTTCTTGCCTGGTAGCATAAATTTGCAAAGTACTTTAGTCTTTAACAATATTGTTCAAAGCATTAACACCATACCTAGTCTGCCAGAAACCATCTTTTTTTTGCTTGTGAGATTTAAATTTCAGTTAACTCTTTTACTGATTATGCATTTTCACAAAACACCTGCGAGGCTGCTGGCACTCACATCTCTGTATCCATATTTGTTTTTACCCATCCATACAAAAGAATGTATGAGAGATAAAAATAAACGCCACTAATCTTAAGAATTAGATAGCCGCCTTTTCTTATCAGACTCTGGTCCTATGTTTTCTTCTGAGCAACAGAATCCTGTAAATTTTATAACTTAGCAAAGAGTGAAGCAATTATAAAATTTATCACAGAACACAGGAGTTCTAAGAAGTACCCCAAAAGATCTGCATTCCAGACATTCTCCTCCTTACCCCCTTTGTGCCATAGGAACCCAATTTCTCCTTAATAGTTAAATTCAGTCACTCCAGCCAGTAAAGTGGCCCCTTCTTTGCCTATTATTTACTTGCAATGAGGAGCTCAACACAGATCGGTGACAATCTCAACTTCTTTTTTAATGGTATCATCGATGAGCCCTCTAATAATTTTTATTTATTTTATGGATTTTAAAATTGAGATATAATTGACATATAGCATGTATTAGTTTTAAGTGTTCAACATAATGATTCAATATATGTATTTATTGCAAACCAGCTACCACAATAAGTTTAGTTAACATCCTTCACCACACGTAGTTACAAATTTGTTTTTCTCCTGTGATGAGAATTTTTAAGATCTACTCTCAGCAACTTTCAAATGTACAATACAGTAGTATTAACTATAGTTACCACCCCCAGGACTTACCTTACTAACGAGGTTTATACCTTTTGACCAACCTTCACCCATTTCACTCACCAACCACCCACACCTCTGACAACCTCCGATCTGTTCTCTGTATCTAGGAGGGGTTTTTTTCTTTTTCAAAGATTCCACATATAAGTGAGATCATACAGGATTGTCTTTCTCTGTCTGACCTATTTCACTTAGCATAATGCCCTCAAAGTTCATCCATGTTGTTGCAGTTCACTTCCTTTTTATGACTGAATAATATTCCATTATATATATACTTATATGTACATATGTATACATCTTCTTTATACATTCATCTGTTGATTGACACGTTGTTGCCACGTCTTTGCTATTGTAAATAATGCTGCAGTGAACATGGAGGTGCAGATGTCTTTTCTAGAGAATGATTTTGTTTCCTTTTTATAATTTTAAAAAACATTAATTTTAGAAAGAGGAAGGAGGAGAGAGAGAGAAATATCGATTTGTTGTTCTGCTTATTTATGCATTCATTGGCTACTTCTTTTTTTCTTTTACTTTTTAAACTTATCTTTATTGTTGAGAGTATTACAGGTATACCATTTTCCTCTGCAAATGACCCCCTCCACTTCGCTCCCACCCCCTCCCCAGGCCTTCACCCCGTTATTGACTATGTCCATAGGTTATGCATGTATGCATATAACTTCTTTGGTTAATCTCTTCCCACCCTCCACCCCCCTTCCCTGTTTCCTCTGAAATATGATCGTCTGTTGCATGCATCACTGTCTCTGGATCTATTTAGTTCATCAGATTCTTTTGTTCATTAGCTTCTTCTTAAAGAAGACCCTTCAACTTTTCCTGTAGTGCTGGTCTGGTGGTGATGAACTCCTTCAGCTTTTTCTTATCTGTGAAGCTCTTTATTTGACCTTCATTCTAAATGATAGCTTTGCTGGGTAGAGCAATCTTGGTTGTAGTTCCATGTTTTTCATCACTTGGAATATTTCTTGCCACTCCCTTCTGGCCTGCAAGGTTTCTGTTGAGAAATCAGCTGACAGTCATATGGGTGCTCCCTTGTAGGTAACTAATTGCTTTTCTCTTGCTGCTTTTAAGATTCTCTCTTTGTCTTTAAACTTTGGCATTTTAATGATGATGTGTCTTGCTGTGGGCCTCTTTGGGTTCCTCTTGTTTGGGACCTTCTGTGCTTCCTGGACTTGAAAGTCGATTTCTTTCCCCAGGTAGGGGAAGTTTTCTGTATTTTTTCAAATAGGTTTTCAATTCCTTGGTCTCTTTCTGCCTCTTCTGGCACCCCAATAATACGAATGTTGGGCCTCTTGAAGTTGTCCCAGAGGCTCCTTATACTATTTTCATATTTCTGGATTCTTTTTTCTTTTTGCTCTTCTGGTTGGGTGTTTTTTGTTTCCTCATGTTCCAAATTGCTGATTTGATTC